ATGTATGTTTTATGCTAATACCATGTTGTTTTAATTACTATAGCTCTGTAGTATGATTGGAGGTCAAGGATTGTGATACTTGTAGCAATTCTTTTATTATTCAGGACTTCAGGACTGTTTTAGCTGGTCCGTTTTTTGTGTTTCTATATGAAGTTGAAAATTGTCCTTTCAATTTCTGTGAAGAATTGTGTTGGAATTTTGATGGGGATTGCACTGAATCTGTAGATTGGTTTTTTTAGGATGACCATTTTCAGTATATTAATCCTACTTATCCATGGGCATGGGAGAACCTTCCATCTTCTGGTATCATCTCCAATGTCTTATGCTTTTTATTATACAAGTCTTTCTCCTTTCACTTGCTTGGTTAGAATTATCCTAAGATTTTTGTTTTGTTTGGTTTTTTGAGGCTGGGTAATAACCAGTTCCCTGATTTCTTTCTCAGTCCATTTGCCATTTGTATATAGGAAGGCTGCTGATTTTTGTGTGCTAATTATGTATCTTGATACTTTACTGAAAGTTTATCAGTTGTAGGAGTTTCCTGGTGGAGTTTTTAGGGTCTTTGATGTATAAAATTCTATCATCTGTTTATATATAAAGATACCTTGATTTCTTCATTTCCTATTTGCATTGCTGGGGATGACTTCTAAAGAATAGGATTGTGATACCAAAGATCAGAGCGTAAACAACAGAAATCTAGTTCTCGCAGACCGAAAGACTCCAATCCCACCACTAAAGCATCATCATGGCTCGCTCCTCTCAAGGCTGTGCTCCTTGGCTTGTTTGTAGCCATCTTCTCCTGTGCCTTTAGCACTGTCCCTCCAAGTACATTATGACCCAAGTACAAATGAAATGTCCCAATTTCATTTCATGGACACTAGTCAGAGTGGCCAGGACACACCTGGGATCATTTTAACTTAATTGCCTTTTTAAAAGACCCTGCCTCCAAATACAACCACATTTTGAGGGACTCTGCTCTAGAGCATCAGCACCTGAATCTTGAGGAAATACAATTTAGCCCATGGCTATGAACATCTGCTCTTTTGACTTCTTTCCTTTTCATTTCTGCCTTTCTGAAACACACACCCTGTGGCCATTTTCTGCTCTGATTTCATACATTACTCTTTTCTCTTGGCACACATTGAACAGGTGCTTACTAAGCTCCATATTGCCCCTAACACTGCACATGCTCAGAAGCAGAAGTAAGAGCCCAGAAAATTGTGTAATGGCGGTGAACTGTGTGGGAGTTCAGAAGACCCATGTCTCCTTCTGCCTGAAGCAATTGAATCTGAGGAGAGAGGGAGACAGTTAAGATACACTGGAAATGGGGGCTGGAGTTCATCTGGCAGAGAAAATGGCAAAGACATTTCAAAAGAGGATCAAAAAGTACATAAACGTCAAAGCAAGAAAGGGCATGACTGGGAGTTGTGACCTCTGGGAGGAGGTGGAAGTGATGTTGGAGGTTGCTGGAGAATGGGAACAGAAGAGCCTGATCCCCCAACAAAGTGACTGATAATTATTTGAAACATTAACAAGTTAAAGTACCATGTCTAGATTTCTGACACAGTGCACAAAAAATCATTTGCATATTATTTAAATATATCTGCAGCATATGGCTCTTGCTATTTATTAGTCTTTTTTTGTTTGTTTGTTTGGTTTTTTTTTTTATTTTTTGAGACAGGTTTTCTCTGTGTAGTTTTGGTGCCTGTCCTGGATCTCACTCTATAGCCCAGCCTGGCCTTGAACTCACAGAGATCCGCCTGCCTCTGCCTCCTGAGTGCTGGGATTAAAGGTGTGCGCCACCACCGCCCGGCCTATTTATTAGTCTTATAGGAGTCTGCCCGATTCTCAGCTCATGGAAGTAAGGGGCTTCATCTGACATTTTATTTGCATTCATATGCCCCTGTTGTCATTACTGTGTGAGAATAAGAAGTGAATGGAGAGGAATTCTCTCCTTCCTAGGGAAGCATGGTCTCTGCTTCAGCTCTACTGTGAAGGCGTAGATGCTTCCACATGTACATACAAGAAACATGCATATTTAAGGGGCAGTGGTTAAGAGGATTTAAGTCTGCTCTGAGTATTTTCACATCAGTACCTACTTATTAACCTGGTAGCTGGTTCACTTCCCTGTCCAGATAGAGGGATCAGGATCTCTTTAAATTAATTAACATGTAGTAACATTAGTTGACCCTTTTGGTTAAATCCCTCACATTCTTTCTCTGGGAGGGTCTGTGGTGGTTTGAATAAGAATGGCCCCCATAGGCTCATATATTTGAATGCTTAGTCATCAGAGAGTGGCACTGCTTGAGAAGGATTAGGAGGTGTGGCTTTGTTGGAGTAGATGTTGTTATTTATTAAGTTGCACAATGTTATCTATTAAGCAGTACTGTTTACTGTGCGAGAAAAGCCATGAGGCACAACAAAACCCACTATAAGAGTTCATTAAGGGAACAGACAGGGTGTGTGTGTGTGTGCATAGGCCTGTGAAATGACCATGCAGGAAGAGAGAGAAAGAATAGGAGGAGCCTGCTTTTATGGGTTCCTGTCCGCCTGCCTCCCCCACCCCACATGCACGCATAGGCTTAACATAGCTACGCCATGCATGTGCATAGATTGTATGATCACATAGCACATGGGATTACATAGGACTCAAAGCCCTGGGATGACTAAGCATCTTGCCTGGCTACTGGACAGCACATGTGCAGTCATGCAGCTGGGGGAGTGACTAGGAATTCTAATAGATGTAGCCTTGTTGGAGGAAATGTATCACTGGGGTGGGCTTTGGGGTTTCAAAAGCCCAAGCCAGGCTTAGGGTCTCTCTCTTCCTGCTGCCTATGGATCCAAACGTAGAACTCTCAATTACTTCTCCAGCACCATGTCTGCCTGCATGCCATCGTGCTTCCTAGCATGATGAAAATGGACTAAACCTCCAAAACTGTAAACAAGCCCCAGTTCAATGCTTTCCTTTGTAAGAGTTGCTGTGGTCATGGTGTCTCTTCACAGCAGCAAAACACTGATTAAAACAGGGTCCCATTCCATTTTTACACTATTCAACAAAGCCAAACTGCTCTCCCAATGTGACCTTTCCCTACTGGAAGTTTCTTGTCCACAGGTATGATAGACAGCCTGTCAGGAACATTCTCATACTTGTCTGTTATTCTCTGGCTGGCTCCTATTAGTGCTTTTGTTTATGAAGTCTTTAAGGTCACACCCTACCAACGCTCTTCAGCTATGGCACTCAGTGAACTGGAAGTAAATATGCAAACAATGTGTGCTACAAAGGCTTTGTGTATAAGGAATACATTCGGTTCTTTGATAACCAGTGAGATTAGCACTATTATTTTCTTTATTTTGATCAGGTAACATCAAGGAACAAGGAGGTCAAGCTAGTTCCCTCAAAGAGCCCTGGTGGGACCCGAGTCTGGACAGGCCTCAGGGGGAGGCTGAGGTCTCGGTCCCCATGACAGGAACTAAGAAGTTTCCTAGGTCCAGTGCCAGCTTAGTGCTCAGCACTGAAGCCCAAGCAGGTGTTGTGCAGCACTCTCCTCCAGCCCACCCAGGCGCACCAGCTGCTGGCAAGAAAGTGCCCGATGCCCAGGACAGTGCCTGGAGGTGTGGCTCAGCTCAGCCTCTGGTGCCAGGGCACAGACGTCCAGCTCAACAGCCCTGTGTATGGGGCTGGAGGAAGTGGTTAGACTGGGTCATGCTTTCTCCCAGCAGGTGAATCCCCAGAAGGCTTTGGTTTCTAGGAATGAGGCTCAAGGAAGAGATATATTGAGAATGGTGTTACAAATTCGTTTGAATTTTCAGTGGAAACAACAGAGTGTACGTTATAGTTAATAAAACCAATAATAATAATGCCCTCTACTGAACCCTTATTCACAGCAGGTACTGGGACAAGCGAGTCTGTTTCTGTTCTCCTAATGTCTCAAACAACCTCAAGCAAGAGCCAGGCTCTTGTCTGAAAGAGAGACTAGACTGTAGTGATATTTTATTTGTGCACCTCAATAAAGCTTATCTGAAGATCAGAGGAAAAAGCCATCCATTATATTAAACATAGAAGACAGGCAATGGTAGCACACACCTTTAATCACAGCATTCAGAAGGCAGAGATTCATCCGGATCTCTGTGAGTTCAAGGCCACACTGGGAACAGAGCCAGGCGTGGTGGTACACACCTTTATTCCCAGCACTAGTTAACCATAGAGGTCTGGAGGTCTGTATAGAAAGACAGGAAGTGATAGAGCTGGGTAGAAAGAGTAAGTGATGTAGCTGGGTGGAGAGAGGAAGTGAGATGGCAGGGACAGAAAGGATATAGGCAGTAGCTCTCTTTGGAGGCTGAGGAGTTGGTGAGGTGAGGTTGGCTGTGGCTTGTCCTATTCCATGATCTCTCAGTTTTACCCCAATAGCTGGCTCCGGGTTTTTTTTTTTTTATTAATAAGACTGTTTATCAATTTGTCTTACACTAGACTATAAGCCTCAGAGAGGCAACAGCCTCCGGAAGATGAAGCAGAGCCGAGGGTGTGAACCTGGATCTTCTCCACTTTTGGAATCCACCCTCTGAATTTCCTTTCTGTGCACTCCTGCACTCCCAAACATTCCAGCTTGGCTCAGCCTGTTTGTTTTTGTTTTTGTTTTTTTGTTTTTTTTTTTCTCTATCCCTTCATAAATTGAAGTGTAACTGACATACAGTAAAGCAAAAATAGCAACAAAACAACAAAATCAACCACAAAACCAAACTCCAAACATTTTTCCATTTTTTAGTGTGTGTGTGTGTGTGTGTGTGTGTGTGTGTGTGTGTGTGTGTATGATAGAGATAGGTAGGAAGATAGATAGATAGATAGATAGATAGATAGATAGATAGATAGATAGATAGACAGACACAGACAGACAGACAGACAGACAGACAGATAGATAGATAGATAGATAGATAGAGACTCACTATGCATATGCATTTCAGGCAAGCCTTGAACCCATTATCTCCTGCCTCAGCCCCCCCTAGTGCTGAGATTACAAACATGTGTCACCAAGCCTGGCTTTTCTGTTGTCAGTTCTGTTTAGATGGGGCCAGAAACTTAGTTAAGTGGTTAAAAGCTTGCAGCATCCACATCAGGCTATGACTATAGTTCCAGGGGCTCCAATGCCCTCTTCTGGCCTCTGTAAGGCACCCAAGCATGCAGTCAATTAATTACACAGACAAACACATGTTACCTGTAAGTTCAAATTTTGTTTAGAATAAGATAACATTGGAATTATATAGTTTTTTTTTGTTTGTTTTTTATTATAAGATCTTAAAGATGCACTCTAAGGGCTTAATGTGAAATGGTAAAACAGTGTTTTAAAATTCTCTATTAAAACAATGAACAGCCAGGTGTGGTGGTACACACCTTTTGTCTCGGCACTCAGGAGGCAGAGGCAGGCAGATTTCTCTGAGTTTGAGGCCAGCCTGGTCTATGTAGTGAGTTCAAGGACAGCCAGGACTACACAGTGAGACTCTGCTTTGGGGAGAAAAAAAAAACCCCACCAAAAACAACAACAAAACAAGACAATAAGTTTTAGGACAGTGGTGTAACTTGGTAGTAGAGGGCTTACTTAGTGTGTGTAGCTCTTTCATCCCCAGCACCACAAAATGAATGAATAAATATTAAATTCACTTAAAAAGTAGAAAATAGATAAAACGCAATCATTTTTTTACAGTGTAGTTCTGTTCTTAGACTAGGGACATTTCCAACATCCTAAGGGACCCAGCTCTTTGGCTCCACATTCACTAGTTCCTGGTAGGGTTATTAGAGTCTTGATGAAAGTCTCCACAGAGGCTGGGGACGTCTGAGGCAGACACAGGAGAAGCATCGGATATGACCAGTTAAGCTGTCTGTGACTGGGAGGTAAACACTGGAAAATTTGCTGGCCAATCAGTCTTAACCTAGTTTGGATATCAGGAGTCAATTTCAGTTTTCATTCCATGTCACAGAGAGGTTAGGTCTACGCGACATACTGTGATGATGAAATAAACTGCCCTTGAAACCCACTTGTCCACACTCTGACCCAGAACACATGGGAGGTCCGCCCACTCACTCCTTCACACTTGGTGCAGCAATAGCCGGGCTGCGTCCTGGGACTGTTGACTGTCACACTGTCACTCTTAGGGTTGTACTTGTTTGTGCCAAAAGCATAGCAGTAAAACTTGCTCTCCGAGGCTGTCCTGTGAGCCAGCCTAGCTAGGAAGTGGTGAGCTCCAGGTTCCTGGAGACACTGCCAGAGATGACAGAGGACACCAGATGTCCTGTGCTGTAGAAGAGTATTTTAAGGTGTGTTGCTTTTGTTTATGCTTTGGAACATTTGTTTAATGATCCAAAGATGTGTTTGATTAAATAAAATTCACCTGCAGTCAGGAGGCTGCGTCAGGAACTAGCTGACAGGAAGTGGTAGGGAGGAGCCAGGTAGAGAAGGGCTTTTAAACAGGGGCCAGGAGAAGCACCAGGGCTTTTTGGAGGAGGAGAGGAAGGAGAGGGGGTGAGATATTTGCTATTCAGCCTCTCTGAGGAGCAGGTTCCACCTTCACCTTTGAATCTTGAGTTCTTTAGAGGGACAGAGATTTAGTTAAGTTCCCTTCATAGCTTTGAAAGAGTCAGGTGCCTGAGGGAACAGAATTCCCCCAGGCCACAGCTCTTACAGTCTACCCGCTGCTGGTAATGGCAGAGTTGCAGTTGCTGATTCAGATAGCTGTGGCTTAAAAGGCAGCAACCATTATTAAAAAGGCCAACAGTCCTGCTCTGGCCTCCACATGCACATCACTGCACCACCCCACCCCCCAACACACACACACAATTCCTTGTTAAAGTGGCCTGGCACTCACTCATCAAATGGTGTTGAAAAAATTAGGCATGACTTTGGACCTACATACAAATATCAGCTCCTTAGATAAAAACCTAGGTAGAAGACACATAATTCTTAGGTTCTAGAACTAAAATGTCAGTGACAGGAGAGGGCACACTGATGCAGAATCGAGCTGAGAGGGAGGCCCACTTCTGGTGTGATTTTTAATATAGCAGGATGATTTCGGGTCATTGAAATGAGAATGGCTAAAAAAAGTAAAGTAATTACTGCAAACTGCTTCGGTCAGCCCTACTCACTGGCTCCTGCTTTCTTAATAACCCAGGGAAAGGAGTGTGTGCCCTGTAGTAGCATGACTGGAAAAACATTGCCTCTGTTTGTGTCTGTAAAGAGATATACGATGACCAGCGAGACGGCTCAGCGGGTAAAGGTGCTTGCCATCAAACCCGACGACCTGAAAGTTTGATCCCTGGGACCCACAGACTGGAAAGAGAGAACTGACTCCTGAAGTCATCCGCTGACTTCCACACACGGGCCATGGCGTGCACCCACACCACAACCAGATGTATGCACACTAATTTAAAAAAAAAAATCCCCCAAACCAAATACCCACACAGACTCACGCGCTGTCTTCTTTGGAGGTAAATCTCATCTGACTCTTTCTCATGTGCAAAATACAGTGATGCATGCCTGCAAAGCATTCTGTTTGCTTACTGAAAAGTAATAAAGTAAATCAAGCCTTCTGAGCAGAGAACAGCTACTTGTAGCACATGTGTGTGGAGCTTATCTCCAGAGACAAAATTATATGCATAAAACCTTTACAATTGACTGGGGTTATGGTGCTGTAGCTGCTTTGTACGACATAAGATAAATAGAAACACTGTTCCCAAATAACACTTGTGTGAAGACCAGACAGAGGTAAGGAAAATGCACAGGCAGCTAGAGCCACTGTTGCATGCCCGTGACATCTGTGGGGGGTCTTAGCACCCTGTGTTTGCTGATTTCTCATTTGAGATATGGTATCTTATGTTTCCATGTTCCTGGGTGCTAGGCTAGTGTTCTGTCACCGAGCTGCATCTTCAGCTCTATCAGATCTGTTTTTTTAAAGTGAAGTTTATAAAATTCTCCTGCTTAGAGTCTGCCTCACAATAGCAACTGAAATTATTTCATGTATATGGTTCGGCATTTCCGATCTGTGCTTGAGGCAAGCAATTTCTCCACCATGGGATGTGGGGCAAACTTGATCTTCTCATGCAGAAGAATGATTCAGGCATTGTGGGAGCTCCTTCCTTTCTCGCTCCCCAGCCATCTTGGCGGCTGGTCTTGGTTGGGGGCTGTTCCGCACCTAAGGCAGGAAGATGGTGGCCGCAAAGAAGATGAAAAAGTCTCTGGAGTCGATCAACTCTAGGCTCCAACTTGTTATGAAAAGTGGAAAATACATGCTGGGGTACAAACAGATTCTGAAGATGATCAGACAGAGCAAAGCAAAATTGGTTATCCTCGCCAACAACTGTCCAGCTTTGAGGAAATCTGAAATAGAATACTATGCCATGTTGGCGAAAACTGGTGTTCATCACTACAGTGGCAATAACATTGAAATGGGCACAGCATGTGGAAAATACTACAGAGTATGCACACTGGCTATCATTGACCCAGGTTATTCTGATATTATTAGAAGCATGCCAGAACAGACTGGTGAAAAGTAAACCAGGAAAGTTTTTCTTTAATAAAACTTTGCCAGAGCTCCTTTAAAAAAAAAAAAAAAAAAAAAAAAAAAAAAAAAAAAGAATGATTCGGGATCCCAAACATTACACTGTGTAAAGACAGTTCAAGATGGGTAAAGACAAAATGCAAGACTTGAAGCTGCTTAGACAGCTGAGAAGACACAGGACACTGGTTCTGGAAATGGTGTTTTGGGTACGATACCAAAAGCACAGACAGCAAAATAAAAACAGATGAACGGGCTACATTAAACTGAAGAACGTTTCCATAGCAAAGGAAATAATTAACTACAAGCCACAGCAACCTAACAAAGAGGATAGAGTGTCTGGAACTCGCAGACGTGACAAGGTTAGCCCAGCATATAGAAAGAAGTCATACCAACTCCCCCACAACAAAATGACTTAATTAGTTAGCTAAAGAGTCAAGTAGGCATTTCAAAAAAGAAACACAAGTGCCAACAAGAATATTAAAAAAAAACTCTTATCATTAATCATCAGAAAAATGCAAATCAAAACCATAGTCGGGTATTCACATCAAGCCTGCCCTTAGTGCTGTCACCATCAAAGGTCAGAAAAGATGAGCTCCTGGAGATGCAGGAAACTGGAGTCCTTGTGCATCCTTAGTGGGTGCGGCAACCGTGGAAGACAGTATGGACAGTCCTTACAAAATAGAACTATTAGACCACATAGCCTCCCCATGTTCTGTCTAGATCCAAGAGAACCGAAAGCATAACTCTCAAGAGTTCCTTTCAGCTGTGTCCGCTGCAGCATTATTTATACTGAGGAAGCAATCTTCATTCATCAATGAATGAATGGATAAACAAATTATGGTATGTGCACATGATGGGACATTACCCATCTACAAAGAAGAAGAAAATTCTGTCATATATTGCACCATGGACAGAGCTTGAAGGCATTGAAGTAACTGAAATAAGCCAATTACAAAAGACAAAAACTGCATGATTCCACTTATAGCATCAAAGTCATGGACCCAGAAAGTGGCATGGCAGTTTTGTAAGGGCTGAAGGGGAGAGGAAGGCAGAGTTGTTCAATGGGTCTAGAGTTTTGGTTTTACAGAATGAGAAAGTTCTAGAACTCTGTTACACATACCCTTAGCAGTGCTTTATTGTACACTTAAAAATGATTAAGATTATAAAGGTTATGTTAGACATTTTTAGCACCATAAACATAGTTCTACTGAAAACACACTAGCATCCAATAGGAGTATAGGAGGAACAAATTTGAGTGTGATGGGAAATGAAAAGGACATCACAACCTAGCACTGAAATTATTAAAGTATAGGGGAGAAGAGTCTACCAGCGGTCATACAAGGTGAGACCAAACGACCCACCCACCCACACCTAAAGAACGCTTCTGGTACAGCTGCAAAGTGAGATCACAGGCAAAATGCTTTAGCATTCAATTACAGTGGTGTGTGTGTGTGGAAAGTGGAGTGGAAAGAGAAGGGGCTAGACAGAGCGATGGAGAGGAGCGGGGAGGTGGGAGAGAGGTGAGTGAGCGGGGCACAGAGCCACCAGCCAAAGTCTGAGGTGAGACATTTAACAGGCAATGTTTTATTGTTCCTCTGGGATATTATTTTTAAAGATTTCATGTAGTAAAATTTTCATATAATTTTACAAAGAGAAAAATAAGTTGTTTTGTTTTTATTTTTAATTCAAAATGCCATTGGCCATTATGGAGCTGGGTTGTTGACGCGGAAATGGCACAAGAGGCTAGGATCCCAGTTTTGAGGTAGAGGAGGCAAAGAGGCCAAGGCCACTAAAGTCACACCTGCCCCACTGCACTGGTCACCTGAATCCCGAGGCATTAGCCAATGTCCCTCCCATAGCATCTAGCAGGTTCTTAGTACCTGTCACTCACACACACTAGCAAGGTGAAGGTCCTCATTAGTAATGCTGCCAGACAGTCACATTCAATAGAAGGCTTCCCTTCTCAATGCTATAATGTCCAGGGAAATTTTACACCAAGAGAAAGCATGAGCACACACCAGTTACTGTTCAAAGATTTCCTCAAAGAGAGTTTCCTAGAAGGAGGCTAGAAGGCTGGAGGAGCTGTACCGTGGGATAAATGTCACACAGAGGTAACAGTGACCATTATGGGCAGCTTGGGAACTCGGAGGAAAACGTGGTCCACCCTTGTCTCTGTAGAGGCTTACAAGAGATTTTAAAAACTATGATCCTTAGAACTGAATTGTATTGCAAAATAAATTAAAATAAATAAATAAATAAAAACTATGATCTTACTCTGTGTGTATGTATGCATGCTTTGCCTGCATGTATGTCTGTGCACTGTGCATGCCTGGTGCCATCAGAGTCCAGAAAAAGGAGTCATATTTCCTAGGACCAGGCTTACAGATGGTTGTGAACTGCCATGTGGGTGCTGTGGTAGAGCAGCCAGTACTCATAACCACCGGACCATCTCTCCAACCTGTCCAGAAAGGATTTTACAATTTTTTTTTTTTTTTTTTTTTGGTTTTTCGAGACAGGGTTTCTCTGTGTAGCTTTGCGCCTTTCCTGGAACTCACTTGGTAGCCCAGCCTGGCCTTGAACTCACAGAGATCCGCCTGGCTCTGCCTCCCGAGTGCTGGGATTAAAGGCGTGTGCCACCACCGCCCGGCCAGAAAGGATTTTAAAGAGGGGAAGGACCCGGGTTAGGAGACCAAGCTCTATCTAGCCTTAGCTGCTTACATGGCTCCGTTACTTAAGGAAGAATATTCCATCCTTCTATGGCCTTACAAGTGAAGAGAAGAAAAGGTGACTACCGCCCTCTTCACGGGTCTGCCAGGGACTCTGAAAATATGAGAGAGAGGGAAAGGGGGAAGGAGAATGGGAGAGAGTGAGGTCTCCACAGACACATTGAAGGTCACGTGAGCTAACGAAAAGTTAATGCATCTGAAGATGAAGTGCAGAAGCCCAAGTAGCAGAAGAGAATGAACTTCTTCTCTCCTTAGATTGCTGCTGGGACGACAGAGTGGAATCCTCTTCAGTGTGGATTCTGATAGTGGGGGTGGTGGATACAGATGCCACTTTAAAAGAAAGAGGGGGTGGTAGGAAAATTGAAAGATATTTATCTGTTAAAGTCATATGACATAGAACTTTCCAGATCTGGACTTTTCTATTTGCACATTTCTGATGCTGGCCAGCTCATCATTTTGTATGTTGCACTTTCTGAAGTTGATACATGGATCCAGAGGCTGGGTCTTTGGTGATACAAGCCATGCTCTACATACTCACTGTCCAGCTGGGGGAGGCCACCAGCACAGGTGGCTGATGAACACTGAGCCACTTGACTATTATGACTAAAAAGCATGTTTATATACGGTAGTGAGAGTATTTAAGTGCTCTAATTTCTTTACAACCTTGAAGAAACCTGTTATATTTTCCATTTTAATTATAGAGAGCAGGGCACAGGGGACTAGGGAGAGCAGGACACAGGGGACTGGGGAGAGAAGGGCTGTGTAGAGAAAACTTGTCTAAAAACAAATAAGCAAAACACAAGAAAGTAAACAAATATCATTTTATTACCACAAAATTTAACTTTTTTAAAAAAATCTGAACGAATTTGACTATAAGATACATGGATGAATGGCTAGACAGACAGACAGATAAATAGATAGATGGAATGATGCAAGATGTGAAGGAAAACTATGTAGACATTTTGTACAAATGGACTCTGACGATACACCCCTTTTATGACCGGCCCCTCTCCCTGAGAATAACGTTCTTCAGGCTGACTCACACAGCGGCATCAACACTACATTCTTTTTTATAACCAACCAATACTTGGTGTGTTGGTTACTTTCAACTACTGTGATAAAATACCATGACCAAAGCAACTCACAGAAGGGAGAGTCTGTTGGGCTTATGGTTCCAGAGGGAGAAGAGTCCATGATGGTGAGAAGGGGAAGGGAGCAAATAGCAGGCACCGTGTGGCAGGAGCAGGAAGCCGAGAGCTCCCATCTCAAGCACCAATGAGCATGAAGAAGATCAAACAGGAAGGCGCAAGAGTTTTTACTCTGAAAGCCCGCCCCCAGTGACATACTTCCTCTAGCAAGGCTGCACTTCCTAAGCCTTCCCAAACAGCTCCACCAACCGCGGAATACGTATGTAAATGTTCAAGACTTTGGGGACATTTCTATTCAAGCCATCATAGTTGTTACATGGATAGACCATATTTGTTGACCCTGACATCAGTTGGTGGGTACTTGTGTTGTTTCTACATTCTGGTTTTGGGGAATAACACTGTTGTGCCTGTTCATGTATAAGCTTTCAGTGGTCCTGTGTGTTCATCATTCCTGGGTACATGCCCACAAGTGGAAATGCTGGTGGGAAGAAATGATGTTCAAGCCTCTAAGCAAATGCCCAACTGCTTCTCAAAGCAGCTGGGTGTTCTCGAAGTTTCAACAGTGATGTACGAGGTGCAGTTCAAGGGTCCCCATTTCTTCACATCCTTAGCCAAACCTGCTGTTAGTCATTTTGATTACAGCCATCCTGTGGGGTGTGAGATGTTTTGGAAGCTGGCCCTGGCATTTAAAAACTAGTTGCTGAAGGCTGAAAGTGCCAAAACAAAAGAAAGAGGCAGACACAAAGTGCAGCTTAGGGTCTTGGGGACAGAAGCGAGTCTTGGGTGAGAACAAAACAGAAGGATCCCCACACCCCGAGGCAGGAGGAAGGGCTGATACACTAAGCTAGACAGAGGTGGGCCACAGCTGGCAGGAACAAACCTACACCAAATGTCAGCCAAGAAGTAGTCTAAGTAGCTGGGCATGGTGGTACACACCCATAATCCCAGCACTCAGAAAACTGAAGCAGGAGGATCTCAGGTTCAAGGCCTGTCCTGAGCCACACAGAAAACCTGTCTTAAATAAATATAAACACACATCAACAGACAAACAAAATAAACCTAAGAAACGGTTTTAGTGCCCATGGCCAGCATAGTACATGCAGGTCTCCCAAAAGTTCTGTTGGCCATCTAAGGGTTGGGGTGGG